TCAGGGCTGGGGCAGGGGGGTTAGGGTGTGTGTGTTGGGGGGCCGGGCCCAGGAATGCAGGCTCCAGGCAGCACTTACCTCAAGTAGTTCCCGGAAGCAGTGGATGTCCCCCCTCTGGCTCCTACGTGGAGGTGCAGCCAGGCGGCTCTGCACGCTGCTCTGTCCTCAGGCGCCACTCCCGCAGCTCCGTTGGCTGTGGTTTCTGGCCAATGGGAGCTGCGGGGGCGGTGCTTGGGGGGCGGGGGAAGCGTGCGGAGCCCCCTGGCTGCCCCTACACCTAGGAGCCGGAGGGGGACATGCTGGCTGCTTCCCAGGAGCCACACAGCGCGTAGGCTAGCAGGGAGCCTGCCAGCCCTGCTGCGCAGCGCAGCCAACCGGACAGTCAATGGCCAGCTGACCAGAGCCACCAGGATCCCATTTCAACCGGGTGTTCCGGTCGAAAACCAGACACCTGGTCATCCTAGTGAGTAACCATGATCTTTAGGAAAAATCAGTAATAAGCTTCTAACCCTAATAATGTGTTTACATTGGTCTGCATTTCAATGTTATTTTCACTAGGAAAAGGGCTAGAAGCTTACCTTTTTTAAATAAAAAGGCTTAGCCCTTACATTTCTAGTTCTATCTCCCTGCATTTCATATAGAACCCAAAGGCTGGCAGTGCTGAGAAGTTGACTTATTTGCATGAGTTTACTATTGTGACTGGTGGGGATATACCTATCATGAAATTACTTCTAGTGGTGGATATGGAAAAGGGAAAATAGCGACAGAAAACTATAATAAATTTAGGACCAGACAACCTCTTTCTTAGAATTCTGTAGGAATTAAAGAATGAAGTAGCTGAGCTACTAATAAAAAAATAATTAAAAATGGCACAGCAATCAGAGGACTAGAAGGTGGTCAATGTTGTAACTTCCTCTTTACAAAGAGCTAAATGTGAGGCTAGGAATTACACTGGTTAGCTGCCGCTTAGTATCAAGGGAGGGATAGCTCAGTGGTTTGAGCATTGGCCTGCTAAACCCACGGGTCCACTTAGGGATCTGGGGCAAAATCAGTACTTGGTCCTGCTAGTGAAGGCTGGGGGCTGGACTCAATTACCTTTTGGGGTCCCTTCCAGTTCTATGAGATAGGTATATCTCCATATAAAAATTTGGGAGTAATGTGAAAGATCCAGTTACAGAGTAGGGGACTGCAATATGGTAAGGGGAAAATCAGTGTAGCATTTGTAAGGGTAAATCATGCTTTCCTAATTTGGTAGAATTTAATTTTTAAAGAGTTAACACTTTAGTGAAAAAGTAGAAACTGTAGATTTAATTGAGACTTTCTAAGGCATTTGCTGAAATCTTACACAAGAGGCTGTTATGGAAACCTGGTAACCATGGAGTAAGAAGTAAAGCACTCCTGTTATTGGTTAAAAACAACGTAAGAAATAACAAATAAGTAGGAATATCAACCTCCAGGTGAGTCTTACAGCCAGTTCCCAATGTGGAAAAATGACTGTTAGTGGAGTACTTCAGGGATAAGATGGGGAGTAGTGCTGGCTGAGAATTTTCCACAGAAATTGGATTTTCAATTAAACATTTTTGTTTGTTTGTTTGTTAAAAGTTTCTGCTTTCCACAGAAAATTTTGATTTTGAAGTTGAAATTTTCGGTGAGAAACAAACAGTTTCCAACCAGGTCTAGAGAGGATGTTCCAAGCAAGGAAAGATTTTAAAAAGCAAAACAAAACTAACAAACAACCACCCCTTCCGCCCCCTCCTCTTCTCTCTTCCCCCCCCCCCCCAAAAAAAAAGAAAAGAAAAGAAAAAGAAAAAATAATCCCAAGCCAATCTTGAGATGATTTGGCTGGAAAGGAGAAGAGTAAATGGATGGATATATGAGACAAACATATATAATATGATAAAATAATATCTGGTTGGATGCTTATATTATGGAAAATGATAAATAGAAGAAGACAACACTATGAATAGTAAAGGATACAAATTGAAAACTGATGAAAGAAAATACTTTTTATGCACCATATAATTAATCTGTGGAATTCACTGCCATATATTTGGGTAAACAGCTTATCAACATTTAAAAAAAAGTTTAGACATTTATAGGGATAAATATAGTATTTGCAGTTACATAAGCTAAGATACTGGTTATGAAAAATATCCAAATTATAAACTAATCACTACCCATGGTAAAGAAGAAAGTCTGCTCAATAGGTTGTTATTACATGCTTAGCTAGGTATATTGGGAAGTTTGTTCATTTTCCCCTCAAACATCCATCATAGGCCATTGTTAGAGAGGGAATATTTGTCTAGCTGGATTATTGGTTTGGTTCATTATGATGCATAGTAACATCCCCATCAGTCCTATGGTGAAGGTGAATAAAATGTAGCACAGTAACTGCACATCAAAAGGCATGGAATGGGGTACTGATATTTTATTTCCTGCCGTTGCTCTTACATGCAAGGGGAACATAACGCCTTGTTAGGACTTGAAAAATGTACCAGATATTTACTAGCAGAGGTTTAATCTGCTGGGTGAAAGGCCCCACTAGCATAGGGTTACCATACTTAAGGTTTTAAAAAAGAGGACACTCCACGGGGCCCTGGCCCTGCCCCTTCCCCGCCCCAACTCCGCCCCTTACCCACCCCGGCCCCACCCCAACTCTGCCCCTTCTCCAAAGTCTCCGCCCCAACTCCGCCCCTTTCCGGCCCGACTCCGCCCCCTCCCCTGAGAGCCCCGCATTCCCCCTCCTCCCTCCCAGCCACGCAAAACAGCTGCCCGAGCGCTACCGGCTTCACGGTTTTCCGGGCAGCCCCCAGACCTCCAGACCCGCTGCACCCCGGGCCGGGCGCTTCCCCAGCACAGCCGGAGCCCGGGAGGGGAAGCGCCCGGCTAGGGATGCAGGGTCTGGAGGTATGGGGACTGCCCGGCAAACCGTGAAGCCAGTAGCTCTCGGGCAGCTTGGCTCTTACAGAGCTGAGGAGTCAGGGAGCAGCAGCAGTCGCCGGAGCCCGCTCTAAGGTAAGCCAGGGATGCCAGCAAAGCTGGGAGTATTTTTCTCGGACATGTTCGGCTTTTTGGAAATTCCCCCCGGACGAGGGTTTGATTACCAAAAAGCCGGACATGTCTGGGCAAAACCGGACGTATGGTAACCCTACACTAGCAAAGAGCCTGGGGAAATGACTGGTACTCAGCACTAGATGGAGGAAAGTGCTTCAAGTCCTAGACTTTTAAGGTAAGAAAAGATGATTTGATTATCTAGTCTAATCTCTTGTATAACAGTCACCCATGCCAGTCACTCCAGTACTGGGCTCAATAACTTGTATTTAACTAACGCATACCTTCCAGAAAGGCATCCAGTCTTGATTTGAAGATCTATTTACCCAAGTGCCATCACAATGTTATTCCCCAGTTCCTGACTGAGGGCTTCATTTTTTAATCAGCCTCTGGCTAGTAGGTGATTTTAATAAATAAACTTGGAGCTTCTGCACTTATGACTGTGGGAAGGGAAATGTTTCAGTCCCCATTCCTGCCTCACCACTGACAAGGATGGGGTATCTCTAGTACTCTTCCCTTCCCCAGAGCCTCCTGGCTGCTGTGGGGGTGGGAGAGTAAGGAGAAAGAAGTATCTCCTGCTCTTTTCACCTCCATTTTCCATTTTGTTGGGTGGTCCTCACAGGGCTAGATTCACCATGAGGACTTAAGCACTGCAATTCTCAGCGTTGCAGCACCTAGCTTTAGGCTGTCTAGAGGAATTCACAGCCTCAAGTTAAGCTCCCTATAGAATACATGGGGAGAGTTTGACACCTAAAAAAGGAACTCACAAGAGACAACCTGCTAAGCAGAGATCTGTCTAAGGTAGCCTGTAGGAAATGCCTAAGAGAGGTGTATAGTCTACTCTCCACTCTCAAAGGGAGTCAGGGCCCCAAATCAGATTAGTGGTTTTTCACCAAAAAAAGCAGGAAAGGTGGTGACATTGCTCCCTCTCCCCAGGCTTTTTGCCCAGTGGATATAGCATTTACAGAGGGTGTAGGAGATCTGGGTTCAAATCCCCCCCTCTGCCTAGCAGAGACAGTGAGATTCGGGTCTCCCACCTCTCAGTTGAGTGCCCTAATGACTGGCTATAGGGTATTCTGTGGGGCTTGCAGCCTCTGCTGTTGGAGATGTTTCACTGTGTATACATTAAGTCAGGGATCAGCAACCTTTGGCACGTGGCCCACCAGGGTAAGCCCCCTGGCGGGCTGGGCTGGTTTGTTTACCTACTGCATCTGCAGGTTCGGCTGATCGCAGTTCCCACTGGCCGCGGTTCACCGCTCCAGGCCAATGGGGGCCGTGGGAAGCCGTGGCCAGCATATCCCTCGGCCTGTGCTGCTTCCCGCAGCTCCCATTGGCCTGGGACGGCGAACCATGGCCAGTGGGAGCTGCGATTGGCTGAACCTGTGGATGCGGCAGGTAAACAAACTGGCCCAGCCTGCCGGGGGCTTACCCTGGCAGGCCACGTGCCAACGGTTGCCAATCCCTGCATTAAGTATTAATTGGGACAGAGGAGAGTGAGAGAGAAGAGTGGTTAGGGCACTCACCTGGGAGATGGGAGATCTGGGTTAGGTCCCTGCTCCACATCAGGCAGAATGGAGATGGGTGCTTGGGTGAGAGCTATAACCACTGGGTATGAGGGTGGCAGCAGCACCTCTGCCCCCTGTGTTGTGTGTGGAGCTTGACCCAGTAGACATTCTCCAAGGTGGGGGAACACCTTGTTTGTGAATCCCGTCAGGGTTTAGGCATGAGTTAGGTACTGAGCTGCTGGTTGGTGTCAGGAATTAGGCAGCTGTACACATATCCAGCTGCCAAAATTTAGGCACCTGGAAGAATGTAATGGTGGAAACATAGTGTACGTGTACACTGCAATAAAAGACATGTGGCATGGCTGTGGCTGGCCCACGTCAGTTGACTTGGACAGGCTCGTGGGACTCGGGCTGCAGGACTATAAAATGGTGTGTAAATGAACAGACTTGGTCTGGGGTCAAGGCCCCACAGAAGGGGTGGGTCTCAGAGCCCGGGCTCCAGCCCAAGCCCAAATGTCTACACAACATGAGCCCTGAGAGCTTGAGTCAATTGACCTCGGCTCTGAGACTCAGTTCTGTAATTTGTTTATTGCAGTGTTGATGTACCCTAGGTGCCTACAGGGGTTAGGCAGCCCCTGAGTGGTGGTTTTGTGAAAGTCAGTGGTGTCTAAATAGTGGACTTATTGTGCCTAAAGTGACAGTTTGGTGTCTAAGTCCTTCTTGTGAATCTATTCTCCAGTGCCTACCTCTGCTGCTTATAGCTTTGCCAAGCAACAGTATGGAATGGACTTGATCCCTGCAGAGGGATTTTGAATAGGCTTGATGAAACTGACTAGAGTCTTCTTCATTTCAGTCTCCTGCTGCCTGGCAAAAGAGGCTGTTGTGCTTTATTTTATTTATTTTCCATTGTGGGAGTGTTAGCTTTAACTTTGACTTTCTTGGCTTTCATCTGTTTGTGTCACAATCTTTGCTATTTAAACTTTCTTCTTACATTTATACTTCCAAACTTTACTCTGTTATGGATTTTGGTGCCCCCCTGCCCCCTCCCCCAAAAAGTTTATTTTGAGAGTATAGCTTTAAATAGCTAGTTCCTCCCATGGGCTGCTGTATAAATCAGTGCTGTGGAGAGGAGTTGGGGACAGCACTATGTGGCAATGTTACAAGCAGTTCCTGTAGGTCTCTTGGGAATATCTGGGATTCAGATGATGATATATAGTACTGCTGTGTAACAGTTTGAGATATCTTGAAGGTCAGATTAAATGACCAGTACTGGGGGCCAATAGAGCTATTAAGAGTTTGTTCCTAAGGAAATCTGTTAATCCTTCTCTTTGTTACATTTGAAGCTGCACACTATCAAAACTACTCTATGTGCTTGCCTTAGTCTAGTAGTGTCAGTGTTTTATCAACAGATAATTGAGCCGCTCTAAAAAAAATTGGAAAATGCAGCTGTGACTAGTTGTTTTTTGTTTTGTATGATTTTTCTTCTAAATATAAACTGAAAAGAGTATTAAGGAAAACTTGAGAGAACTGGTAAGTGATAACTCTATTTAATATAGTATGTACCATAGGTTGAAATAGAATGTCAACAATCTGATTAGATCATAAGACAACAAAACAAACTGAAATAAATATTTTTCTTGTCTTTATACATGTGTAAAAGACATTAAATTTTTTTAAAAGGTATGAGAATTACATTTATTTTCCTGGAAAATTAGTCTACCTGCCTATTTTAGAATTATCCTATTCTTAGTATCTAATTGTAATTATGTAAATCATAATTATTGAGCTTAATTAATTTTTTTCTCTTCAAAATTTGTATGTGTGTGTGCTTTTAGATGTCCACATAAATAGCATTGCTGTATATTCTCACACTGTAACTGATATTTCTTTGCAGGAACCTGGTATTATTTTCAGAATAGTGTGTGTGTGTTAAATCACATTCTAAAGAATTATTCTTAATTTTATACACATTTTTCATTGGAGTCTTAAACATTATGAATCCTTTTTTATGACTGAATATGGGGGAGTTATTGGGAGCTTTAAAGAACTAATTTTTAAAAAGTGCAACCTGCAACTTTAGTCACCATGTTAAAAGCAAATGCTTGCTGAACGCTTCCCGATTAATCCTTGGTATCCAGATAAAGCGAAACAGGTGAGGGTCAACTTAAGTTTGTTTAAAATGTTTGTGCCTTACTTTTATTTTTCGTGTAGTAAATTGTTAACAAGAGCCTCTTTCACCTTCTATTCACCCTGTTTGTGGGCTAGACTTTGTCATTCTTATTCATGTTGAATAGTACTTTATTCCACACTGCAAGTAGTCCACGGCAACTCATAGACTAAGGTACTGCTCAGCATGAGCAAGGTGCGTAAAATCTGTCCCTAAATGAATCATAGTTGTAATTGGTTTTGTCTGTGTGTATTTTGTTGTTTTGTTTTTTAATTCAGGTATTTGTTTAGTTTCCTATTTCCTGATCCTACAGGCTTTACTCAGGCAAAACTTCCACTGATGTCTCTGGGAGACTTCAGCCCAGAGATTTCATTGGGAGTTTTGTGTAAAAGCTGCAGGATTGGGCCCACAGTGTATATGTGAGGTGTCACAAGAAACCAGATGTAGTGTCTGAATTAGAACCCTGCATGGGATTAGTGTAGAACCCTGTAGCAGGACCGGGATCCCCCAGGTCTCATAGGAGCTGCTGCCAAAATAGCAGGAGTGGGATTAAAAATAGTCCCACGTGGGACTCTAATATGGATTGCTGATTGTCAGTGTGTGCATTCCATGGTATGAGAGCCCAGACTTGAATTTCTGCTAAAGTCAGTCTGAGTTTTGGTTGCTCAGCATCTCATTGGAAGGACTCATCATTATGCAGAACTGAGCCCGTTCAGTATGTGCCACAAAAATGAGATATTAATGACATTTAAATAGGATGGTTTATTGGTAATGTTGATTAATACATTTGGAAATGTGAGAGTTTAGAAAACATTGGCTGGTGCTGCCATTCTCTTCTCTTTGAGGGATCTCTAATGCAGTAAGATGTTTACTATTTTAGTTTGGAGACTGCCTTCCAGCTTGCACAACTTGACATTTTACTTAGTGGCTTTGAATCATTGTAGTTAAGAACTGTCCATTATTACTGTTCAGAATAAAAAATTTAATTTTAAGCCAACATGGATATAAATCTTGGAAACCAATAATATTTTAAAAGCTTCCAGGAGGTCTGGCACATTTAAAACTGCAGTGAACTAATGCCCTGCTATTTTATTGAGTTTTGAAATAATATGACCTTTTAAAATTTTACTTGTGTTTTTTCTATCAAGAGCCTTAAAACTAAAATGTGGAAGTAACTGTGTATTTAATTATCCTGGTCTGTAGCTCCTAAGCATGGGATCATCCTAGAAGATTATATCAGATCTCTAATGACTTTATTAATCTAGACATGAAAAAGGTTCTTGGTGGTAATGCGTGAATCTATTTATGCAACACTAGCCAATGATACTTCTTTGGTATCAGAATGATCTAAAATTACAAGCTGAGTCATAACTTTTCCCTGGGCATGGCAATGGTTGCAGTCATGTTACAGCTGTTAATATGAGTTTGTCATATAATATAATTCCAAGAAAAACATGGAGGGCAAATTACGCTGGAATAACATGGTGTAATGGTTGGTAATTGAGATCAGACTCTGCCCAAGTAAATTCCCAATTTTATTTCTTATCTTTTACTGTATTCTGCTTCTATATTTCTTAGTCTTCTGGAAAAATGCTGCCCCTAATGGTAAAAGCGTTCAGTGTAATACACGTGTATATATACCATAGTGCATGTACTCTAATACTTTTGTTCTCTAGTCTTTGTAGATGTCAATAATCCCAAACCAAGAAGGTAATAAAACAAGAGGTCATAGTTCTGCTGATTTCCAGTGCAAGACAACTTGCTTTTTCACAAAGTGCTGCTGGCAAAGAAGATTTTGGTTATTGACTTACAAGTGTAGGCCCCGATCATGCAAACACTTATGCACATGCTCAACTTCACACACGCTGAGTGGTATGTGAAGTTAAGCACATACATAAGATTTTGCAGGGTCAGCTCTTTAGACGTTTAAACCTTTACAGTTTTATCAAGGCAGCCCCTTACGGCCGTTCTGAGAGATTATACCTAGCAGATCAGTCAACGGCAATAGCTGTGAGGCTGCAGCTCTGTGTTCATATTTAGGAAGGTTTAACCTCCCTCCCTCCCTTCCCCCCAGTCCCCTAATCATGGTGTCCCTTGGATTACTCCTGTGTTTCATTTCCAGTTTATGCAAGAGTCTCCTTTCACAAGTAAATCAGGATGCAATGTTTTTTTTTTCTACTTTAAATTATTTGCTGACCATAAATTTCTAGACTCACGAACTAAAAATTCTTCAAGAGCCTCAAACTCTTCTACATTGACAACATGTCAAAACTTCTGAAAGAAGCCTTCCCCACAAAAAATAAAATATAAGAGCTTTCACTGCTTCATCCAGCCCCTCTGGAAAAGCCTGAGTAAACAGGCTTGGTAACATACTCTCAAGCTTACAAACTCAGCTATCTCTGATCAAGGGGTGAAGCAAATTTCAAATGGGAGGTCCCTCCAGCAAGAATGTCCTCCTGTCTGGCCCTGGGGTATACAAACCTAAGAACCGTTGCCTGAAGCAGCTGATGATTTCAAATGGAATATGGTTGCTAGGGAGGAGAGAGGTAGCCTCGAAGGGAAAGACTCAATCCACAAAGCACTTTGTAGGTCAAAACCAATGCCATGCATTATAACTGGAATTTACTGTGCAAACTGATTAGTAGAGTGCATTACAGAAAGTTAGTCGGAAGGTGTCAAAGACACAGGTAAGGTGGGGATGTCCAGATCTGAAAAGAATAGTGGTAACCTATTAGCACTAGACAAAGATAGCTGTAGTATAAAAAATATGTTTTCTATCTGAAAATTCAGATGCAGCCGGGTATGCAACAGGACCTTTAAACTGCAAATCTCGTTAACAAAAGGTGGCTGTACCTTCCTCAAAGGAGCAGAAAAGGTGGTAGAACCGAGTTCCATGATTGTCCAAGTGGGACAGCGCTCAAAGCAGAACAGCAGTCATCTAATTCACATAATCATACTCCTCTCTGGATCAGTTCTTAGAAAAGCAAAGTGAACCACATGATCAATCGTATCAAAGGCAGCTGATAAATTTGAAAGAACCAGGGTGAAATCATGACCCCACTGAAATCAATGGGAGTTTTGCCATTGAGTTCAGTGGGGCCAGAATTTCACCCTCTTATCTTTATTGCTTTAAGGATATTATATAACCCACAAGACCAGCAATAGATTGTGTTGTACCCAATCCTGGAACCAAACGGAAAGGGTCAGAGAGTTCTGAGGACTCCAGTTAGTACCAAAACTAACTTGCCATAATCTCCTTTCTATCACAGATGCTAGGTCAAAAGCAAATCCTATTTGTCCTAATGAATTCTCCCGGAGATAGCTTGGAAATCTTAGCCAGGTGAGAGAAGCAAGCTCCTGAGATGCATCCAAGAAGCATGTGTGTATTCTGGAAGCCATGATCAGTGTTTGCAAGGCAGAGATCTCCCTAATGACTCTGGCCACATTGCTTTCTATTCTTATTCATAAAGGGAAGCTTTGGAGACCTCCTATGTTTAGAAGAGGCAATCCTAGAAGACTAGTGTCTCAGATTTTGTAAGTGGTGCTGAAGATCAAGAATCAGGGTAGCTCCAACTACCTAGGAGGATGAATAACTATACTTCCCTTTTCCTCCTTACAATGAGATACACTACTGTGGTTTTGCAAACTCTATTCCCCTCACTGTCCACATGAACTGGGTATTTTCCATTGCGGCTTGCACTAATGTAGCATTTTTAAGCATTGCTTTTGAAATGTATTTTGTACTGCGTGAAAGCAAATATATGCTAGAAAAATGTTTTGTTTGGCTAAGTTTCTACATTCCTTGTAGGGTAAGTCATCATAATCATGTATAAAGAGATAATTGCCTTGCCTTGTTAGGATGACAACAATGACAAAGAAAAGAGATTTTTTGATGGTGTGGAGTTGACAAGCTGGCGGGGGTGCCAGAGACTGTAGTGGATAAGGGTAAGGGTCAGAGTTCTAGAAGGAAAGCATGGTCCCTTCTACAAATTGACCTAAAATATTTGTTACTGCTTTGGAAAAGTGTCAACAATCCTAGTAGGAGGAAACACCACATTTTCAAAATACTTATTTTGTCTAAATCCTGACACCAGTGAAATCCCTAGGAGTTTCAATATGATCGGAAGTAATATTATGAAGTGTTATTTTTCTCTTGGAATATTACAACTAAAATTGTCTAGGTAGTATTTTAAAAACTCTCTGATGAAAATAATACAGTATAAATTATTGGTTCTTTTCATGCGTTAGGACAAAAGTAAAAAAACACTATTAGTTCAGTGTGCAGTATCTGAATCATAGAAGATCAAGGTTGGAAGAGACCTCAGGAGGTCATCTAGTCCAGGGGTAGGCAACCTATAGCACG